CAGTAGGTGTAAAATGGAAGGTTGTGAAAAATGTCCACTGTCCCCCTCTATTGAATGACATTGGTCTCATGTCTCTATCTAATTGTTTACGAAAGTTATTACAAAAAGAAGGCTAAATTTGGACATGCAATTCCCTTTTCTACTAGTAGGGGTAAAATGGAAGGTTGTGAAAGATGTCCACTGTCCCACTCTATTGATTGACACTGGTCTCATGTCTCTATCTTCCTGCTGACGAAAGTTATTACAAAAAGAAGGTTAATTTAGGACATGCAATTCCATTTTCTACCAGTAGGGGTAAAATTGATGGTTGTGAAAGATGTCCATTGTCCCCTTCTATTGATTGACACTGGTCTCATGTCTCTATCTTCCTGCTGACGAAAGTTATTACAAAAAGAAGGTTAATTTAGGACATGCAATTCCATTTTCTACCAGTAGGGGTAAAATTGATGGTTGTGAAAGATGTCCATTGTCCCCTTCTATTGATTGACACTGGTCTCATGTCTCTATCTTCCTGCTGACGAAAGTTATTACAAAAAGAAGATTAATTTTGGACATGCAATTCCCTTTTCTACCAGTAGGGGTAAAACGGAAGGTTGTGGAAGATGTCCACTGTCCCCTCTCTATTGATTGACACTAGTCTCGTGCCTATGTCTCCCTGATGTAAAAAGTTATTACAAAAAGAAGATTAATTTTGGACATGCAATACCCTTTTCTACCAGTAGGGGTAAAACGGAAGGTTGTGAAAGATGTCCACTGTCCTCCTCTATTGATTGACAATGGTCTCGTGCCTCTGTCTCCCTGCTGTAAAAAGTTATTACAAAAAGAAGATTAATTTTGGACATGCAATACCCTTTTCTACCAGTAGGGGTAAAACGGAAGGTTGTGAAAGATGTCCACTGTCCTCCTCTATTGATTGACAATGGTCTCGTGCCTCTGTCTCCCTGCTGTAAAAAGTTATTACAAAAAGAATGTTAATTTTGGACATGCAATTCCTTTTTATACCAGCAGGGGTAAAACGGAAGGTTGTGAAAGATGTCCACTGTCCTCCTCTATTGATTGACAATGGTCTCGTGCCTCTGTCTCCCTGCTGTAAAAAGTTATTACAAAAAGAATGTTAATTTTGGACATGCAATTCCCTTTTCTACCAGTAGGGGTAAAACGGAAGGTTGTGGAAGATGTCCACTGTCCCCCTCTATTGATTGACACTAGTCTCGTGCCTCTGTCTCCCTGATGTAAAAAGTTATTACAAAAAGAAAGTTAATTTTGGACATGCAATTCCCTTTTCTACCAGTAGGGGTAAAACGGAAGGTTGTGAAAGATGTCCACTGTCCTCCTCTATTGATTGACAATGGTCTCGTGCCTCTGTCTTGTTAATTTTGGACATGCAATTCCCTTTTCTACCAGTAGGGGGAAAATGAAAGGTTGTGAAATGTCCACTGTCCCCCTCTATTGATTGACACTAGTCTCATGTCTCTATCTTCCTGCTGACGAAAGTTATTACAAAAAGAAGACTAATTTTGGACATGCAATTCCCGTTTATACCAGTAGGGCTAACATTTGAGGATTGTGAAAGATGTCCATTGTCCCCCTCTTTTGAGTGACACTGGTCTCATGTCTACAGGCCCTTTAACTAAAAAAGCTATTACAAAAACACCGCCCACTGAGGCATAGCAAAAAACGAAGAAAATTTGCACTTTCCCCACGGTCCCTTACCGAAAGCTGCGCGAAGAGCGAGCTCTCCCGGCTTAATGCACATTGCCACGGCTTCTGCGAGGAAAGTGCTTATTACATCGAGCGAACATTATGAAAAAGAAGGCTGTGAAACATGATCAGCTTTGCCCTTTTGGCGGTCAAATTGCTTCGATTTTTTTAGGGCAAGTCGTTTTGGAGTTATTGCCGTTTATCGCTGAATGTGTCACGAATATCGAAAACAAAACTAACTTAACCCCGCTCAGTAGTAGGCTATGGCTCGCGTGCTCCTGTTTAAGTCACGAAATACGCATCGGGATATCGTGACAACATATTCCGTCGTTTCATAATACTTCATGAATTGTTGTAAACTGAGATTGGTGTCTTTAGAAGACGTATATGTGCTGAATTCTACATAAATGATCCACGACAATGCCGTGCAATATGGGCACAGCCATTAATACTAATAGAGGCAGCAGCGGAAGTTCTTCTACGCAACGCTACTATTTGAATCTTCCGCTTTTCAAACGCGGAAGTTTGATAAAGGCCTGTTCAGTTGTTGCGAAGCTGCGGTCAGACATCAGTGAATATCAGTATTTAATTGATACTCAAGTAAAAGCTTTCCAATCATGGGCACGTCTGACGCGACCAAGATTTTTGCTCTGCTTTGTGTTTTTCTTCTCGGTGGGACTTCGCCCTTACTTCAGACAGGTAAATGATCACATTTTGCCTCGTTTTGTCAGAGAAAGAAAGTGAAAGTAACACTTCCTGGTCTACAACGGCTTTGTTACCACAGATATGTTATACATTTTATTACGAATGTATGCTAACATCGTACATTTCAAAGTGTCTATATATATATATCTATATCTATATCTATATACTGATGTAAATAATGATATAAGAGTTTTGTCAACTTAAAAGCAACTATCCACGAACTTGATGTCCTAAACGTTGATCCACATGGCAGCGGCCTATTTACCAGCATCTTTATTACTGATCATAAAATCGATCCCAGGATTAGACATGTTTGTACAGGTTCAGGATTATGTTTTAGCAGCCAGCCTCGTGCAGGAGCCTAAGCTTGGCCACCCCACTCAAAACTGCTGTTTATGTTCCTTTTTTTTCCTTGACAAGAAACGCATTTATTAAACCACATAAAACGGGAGACTTTTCAGACGCGTACTTCACTTTTTCCTATGGAAAGCCATATGTATGGAAAGCCATATGGGTCATAATTCTATGGAAAGCCATATGGCGAATATATGGCGCACGCTCTATATCGCTTCATCATAAATAAAGCTAACAAGAAACTTTGAACATACAATGTATTTTTGTCGTCAGTTAAGCCATAAAATTACCAAAAAGGCGATTCGTGCATTCATGTATAGCATCACATTAAAGAACGTCTCTCAAATGCATGTACTAAAATATTGTGCAATTCTAAATCACATATGAGGCGCAAGCTGTTTTTTTTTCTTTGTAATTAAATGCACAAATAAATTTGACCACAGTGCACTTATACTAGAAAACATGCGCTATTTTTTATTAATTTTTTTTACAAACCATTTAAATGCATAAAATAACTCATTTTACATTCTGGCGTTTATGTGCTGGTGACTTCCGGCCTTTTTTTAAAAATTATTTTATTTTTTTTACTAACCAATTGTTATCACTATCTGCATGTATCATCAATGAGGATGCAATGATGGAGAGCAAGCTTTTGGGGGTTTTGAGAACTAGAACCAAGCTGACTGAGCAATAAAGCTATAGTGAGTCCCTTTATTAAAATACCTGGAAGTGGGGAATAATACACAAATGGTCATATTCACTCAGCATTACTTGATCTAATTCACAAATATCTCCATTTCAATTTAGTAGAAATTAATTGTATTCAGTTGTGTTTTAGGCACTAAAACAGTCCAATACTTTATAGTCAATCACATTTTTATATTGAAATAATGGAGATTTCTGTGCCACCCCAGACTGGTTGCTGGCCCCTCCCTGGCCACCCCTAAAAAACATCCTGGCTCTGCCACTGGCCTCGTGTTAATTTATCAAAAGAATGTGATCCTTCTGGATAAACAGAGATTATAACAAAATTTTAAAACTGAAAAAAATATTAATTTCACTGTATCCAGTAAGATAGGTCTTGTTTGACTGGCTTATTCTGTCATTGAATCATAGTTCTGGATTTATAAAACATTTACTCTTTTCAGTTCTTTCTGTAACTGAAATGTTTTGAGACTGTCCTGAGTGCGCCTCACCCACCTCATGTTGCCATTTCCTTCAGAAATGTAGCAACCCCTTTTATCACATTTGCTTCAATAGTTGATATAATGCATATTATATTCCTCTTTACTGCAGAGAAACACTCCCTGTATTACATTTACACGGCCTTGTCCAAACCTGTCAATCAGCCGGGCATCTATCAGTTCACTGCTATGGGTCTGCTGGATGACAGACAGATTGACTATTACAATAGTGATGGACAGAGAAAGATTCCCAAACAGCAGTGGATGAAAGAGAAAATGCAGGAGGATTACTGGGAAAAAGGCACCCAGTCAAGAAAGAGCAAAGAGCAGTGGTTTAATGTGAACGTCGACATTCTGATGAAACGTATGAGACACAATGAGACAGGTGAGGATCATTGATACATTTAACCTGCAAATACATATTTTTATGTACATTTTTAATTATTTTATTATCATCTGACTCACATTTTAATTTGTGTCTATTTCAGATGTTCATGTTCTTCAGTGGAGACATGGTTGTGAAATTCAGAAACAGGGAAGTGAAGTGAAGTTTTCCAAAGGCATTGATGAGTACAGCTACGATGGAGAGAACTTCCTATCTTTTGATGATAAGGAGTCTCAGTGGGTCGCTCCTGTTGATGCAGCTGTTCCAACCAAGAAGAAATGGGATAATGTGCCCATCCTAAACCAGTACACCAAGGGCTACCTGGAGAAAGAGTGTGTGGACTGGCTTAATAAATTTAGAGACTATGGAGATGAGGAGCTCAGAAAGGGCTGTGAGTACATGTACAGTATTTGTATTTGTTGATGATCTGCAGCTGTCATAGAGATATAACTCACTGATAAACTGTTTTCTGTGTTTTCAGCTCCTCCAGAAGTTCATGTGTTTGCAAAAAGGTCTACTAAGGACAAAAGCAAGCTGAAACTCACCTGTCTGGCCACTGGCTTCTACCCCAAAGACGTGATGTTGACCATAAGGAAATATCGCACACCCCTGCCTGAAGATGAGATTGAATCCTCAGGAGTCAGACCAAACCAAAATGAAACCTTCCAGCTGAGGAAGAGTGTGGTTATCAAGGAGGATGAAAAAGCAGAATATGATTGTTTTGTGTTTCACAAAACCCTCAAAGGACCAATTATCATCACATGGGGTAGGCAAAGTGAAAGCATTTAATGAAGTTCCAAACATATGTTCGGGAGGAGACTAATCATTCAGTCTTGTCAATCATCGCTATGAGCATATATAAGCAGCAGTCAGTGCACCGTCCCAGCGACTATTCTTCCGGCATCCCTCCACCTCCCCGTTTCCTCGTCTATTTCCTTCTTTTTCTTTCACACGGTACAATCATAGGGGGGGAATCTTACTCGGAGCTCGAGCCAAGCCTCGGGTTCGAGCCTCCTTCAAGAACAGCAAGCAAAGTTTGTTTATCATTATTTAGCAGGACAAAATGGGCAGGTGCACTCCTGAAATTCAATCATTAAAGCAGGGGTTTCTCTACAGCGGAAGCAGGGGTGGCAGTGCCTCCTTAAAAATCGAATGAGAAAATAATCCACAATAGAAAAATAAAACACCACAAATATTCTGAAATATATTAAAAAGTGTATAAAGTTTTCCAACAGCGACACCAGCAATTAAAGTTAGAGATTAAAGCTACAGCATCTCTATTGAATTGACTCTTTATTGAGTTTTAATAGATCCCAAAGCTTGTCATGAGTTTGGTGGAGGGTAATTGTGAATGAATGGGGAAAAGTGATGTTGGAAAAGTCATGCCTTGATTGGCCTATTTCATTATTCACACAATAAATCCTGCCTCTCGTTTTAGTGCTAGTTATACATCCACATATTGATCTGAATAAAAAAATTGTTAATAGGAAGTCTAATTTAAAAGTAAGTAGTATAAAGCACCCACTCATCCACCATATCATCACTTTATGTCACAGCAAACTTGTAATGGCTTGAAAACGTGTAAGTTTCTTAGTGAGCAGTTAGCGTGATAATATTATACTGTAGGTACATCTCCATGTCTGACGATCACGACACCTGCAGTGTTTACTGAGCTTTGATGACTGATGAACTGCAAATAAGTTGACTATTATGGCGTCAAAAAACAACAACAACAGTAATACTACCAATAATTGAAATCTGAAATTTGTAACCGCATTCTTATTATTTTGGAATTAAAGTAAAAAAGCTTAAAACACTACTAGTTATTAATGAAAACAAAATAGAATTGTTATTGGTTGTTGTTTTTTTAAATAGAATTTACATTTGATTAAAAGCACTGAGGACTTTGTCTTGTTAAAGGGTAAGCATATTAATGACACCCCCTATTTTAGCAAGGGATAATTCTCAACTCAATTTTGAAACATTTTGTGAAATGGAGGGGAAGCAGGGGAGCAAGGGATAATTCTCAACTCAATTTTGAAACATTCTGTGAAATGAGTTAAAAGCATCAACGTGTCCCACAAATGCATGCTGAATCTGTATTTGTAACATCGCATGCTACAAAATCATTAAATATATAATACATAGTTTGTAAGTTCCCTGGACATTAGACAGATAAATATGTATCCTGTGATAGCTATAATTTAATGCACAAATCATCAAGGTGCTCTAAAGACCTGTTATAGCCACGGTATAGACGGATAGCACTTGTGTAGGAGACTCCGGGAAAGAGAAATTATGCCATGAAGAAACACTTCAAAAGTGAAAACACACTCATCTTCTGTCATTGAATATGATTCCAATAGGATAAGCATGCGCAGTCTCGTGAATAATTATGAGACACTGATGAGGTTTTTTTTGCAGATGGGATATGCACAGACTGCAACAAAGGCTCTACCTCTATTCCGACTGGACCTGTGATTGGAACTATAGTTATAATAGCTATAATAGTTCTTGTTGCAGCACTCCGTTTTTACCATTATAAGACTAAAAGACTCGGTGAGTATTACAACAGGATCACTGATTCTGGGCACACTCTTTTTAATATTTTTATTTAATAAAGGTGCTTCAACTATGAGGATTGACAAGGCTGTTTTTTTGTAAAAAAATTAATAAATAAACCACCAACTATTGTTTCACTTAGGCCTGGGTGGTAAGAATGACCAAACTCTTGTAATAGTCAGATGAAATATCTATTAATGGGGTTAAGCTGCAAGCAACTAAACTCTCCTTAACAACTATCTGTCCCTGACAGCAGTGCATGTAGACTGTAATGGTATTTATGATCTTTATTTGTAATAATCTCTAGTTATCCCATGGAGTAATACCAATGGAGCAGCACAAAGGAATCATGCTAATGGAGTAACTCAAAATCTTCTCCCAGGTAAACTGAAAGTGAAATGAATCTGTATTTCCCTTTAGATAAGTGTTCTGAGGTGTTCATGTATACAACAATTTTATCACTAGTGCTTGTGTGGGTGTGAATGCTATGGACATGCACAAACAGCAGCCAATGGAGGTAAGCTGTTAACAGTGCAGGTACAGCAGAAAAATCTGCTGGTGTTTTTGAAATAATATGCCATGAGGGATGTGTAGTGATTACATAACAAAACAAAATGTAATAAGTGCACATAAGTATTACATTATTAATATATTAAAATGTTCAGAATGTAACTATTTTTGTTGGTATGGGTTGCTATGGGTGATTCATAGGGTCAAACCGAACCTGCTGCTATGACTCTAAAAGAATAGTTCACTTCCAGAATAAAAATTTCCTGATAATTTACTCACCCCCATGTAATCCAAGATGTTCATGTCTTTCTTTCTTCAGTCGAAAAGAAATTAAAGGTTTTTAAGGAAAACATTCCAGGATTTTTCTCCATATAATGGACTTAAATGGGAACCAAGTTGTTGAAGGTCCAAATTACAGTTTCAATGCAGCTTCGAAGGTCTCTACACGATCCCAGCTGAGGAATAAGGGTTGTATCTAGGAAAACGATCTGTCATTTTCTTAAGAAAAAAAAATGTATATACTTTTTAACCACAAATGGTTATCGACTTCATGCATTACGTAGTCATGTTGGAAAGGTCACGCTTGACGTAGGCGGAAGCACCGACCCAGTGTTTACAAAGCAAACACGCGAAAGAAAGTCAAACGCTCTTTACAAAAAAGGTAAAACAACGATGTCGGACGATTTTGAAGTTGGATGAGAAAATGAGATTGAGTTTTTTGCCCTACCCTTCCTTTCTGAACCGAAGCACACAGACGAAGAGCTAACCGTGCGTGACCTTTCCAATGTGATTACGTCATGTGTGAACTAGAGCTAGTGCAAGACGAACATTTGTGGTTTAACAATATATTTGTTTTTTTTAAAGAAAATGACCGATTGTTTTGCTAGATAAGACTCTTATTCCTTGGCTGGGATCGTGTAGAGCCCTTCGAAGCTGCACTGAAACGGCAATTTGGACCTTCAACAACTTGGTTCCCATTTAAGTCCAATATATGGAGAAAAATCCTGAAATGTTTTCCTCAAAAACTTTAATTTCTTTTTGACTGAAGAAAGAAAGACATGAACATCTTGGATGACATGGGGTGAGTAAATGATCAGGAAATTTTTATTCTGGAATTAATCCTTCAAGTCAACTCACCTTTATTTTATATAGTGCTTTATACAATGCTGATTGTGTCAAAGCAGCTTTAAGGCTTGTTCACACCGGGACGAATATCACGTGCGATTATCGCCGACGTTTAACACCTCGTGACTAAACAAAGGGCGCCAATGTGAGTGTGCAAAATGCGAGGCGTAAAAGCGTAAGTTTTTAAAAAATGCCTCAGGCTCGTTTTTGTGGTTTGACGCGCCGCGTTAAAAACTGGCCGACCAATGAGATTGGCACTTTTGTTCACGTGCCTGGAGCTGCTGAAGTTACAGTAAAGCACGACTTGGTGGCACTCAAGCACAAAACGGCCTTGCCAAGCACACATTGATACCTAACGACGAAGAGGAAGTAAGTACAAACCCGATTCCAAAAAAGTTGGGACACTGTACAAATTGTGAATAAAAACAGAATGCAATGAGTGACTACAAAAATCTCAGTAAGAGGGAGTTGTTATGGAGAGGAATTGCAGATCAAAGAGGATTCGATGTGTATTTAGGGGTGTCATGATACACGGAGCAGACCACTCGATGAACTCAGTCTTAACATGCACACTCAGAGAACATTCTAGCTCTGTCATCATCGGCAGGCTGCACACACTGGGCCCGCCCCCGTTGCCTAGCAACCCTGGACCCCGACACAGAACAGCTTATCGAATCACAACTCTGTCCTCATACAGCAAAAGTCCATCTATTTCAGAAAGGTGAGCTGTAGCTGCATGAAACCCGTGCAGTGTGTTTGTCAACTGAGACGTCTGACTGGGCCATCCTTGGCGGATGAACTTGCAAACTGACTGGAGATCTGAATCTTGTTGTGTGGCTTCCCTTATGGCATTTAACCTGTCTCCACTCACAGGCTTAGTGGACAATACTGCCTGTACAAACACGGTCACATCACTCTCTGTGTCAGACTCACCCAGATGAGTCAGCGGATTTCTGGAAAGAGTGTCTGCCACCACAAGCTGTTTACCTGGTACATGGACAGCTTTGACATTAAATCTCATTAAGTGCATCAGTAGCCGTTGGCATCTTAAGAGAGCTTTGTCAACATCATATGTGTTTATTAAGGCCACAAGCGGCTTGTGGTCAGTCTGGAGTTCAAATTTGTCCATACCTTGTAAGTACCGTGAGAACCACTCACATGCCCACACACCAGCTAGGCATTCCTTCTCGATTTGCGAGTAGCGGCGTTCGGTCTCAGTCCTTGAACAGAAAGCAATAGGACGTAGTCCATTTTCCTGCTGCTGAAACAGGGCAGCCCCTAGGCCATAACTGCTTGCGTCCGCACTGACTAATGTGGTCCTGTTTACATCATAGAACGCTAGCACTGGTGCTGTGGTCAACATGCTCTTGACCCTGTTAAATGCCTGTATCTGTGCCACACCCCAGGACCATTCAGTGTCACTCTTAAGAAGTTCAGTCATTGGATGAAGAACTGACGAGAGACCCGGGAGGAATTTGCCCAGGTAATTTATCATCCCTAAGCACACTCAGAGAACATTCTAGCTCTGTCATCATCGGCAGGCTGCACACACTGGGCCCGCCCCCGTTGCCTAGCAACCCTGGACCCCGACACAGAACAGCCTATCACAATAACCTATTCACATTTCACCACAAGGGGTATTTCTGTTTTTTATTAAGCGCCATCTAATGTCCAAGTGTATGATTGCACGTTCACTCGACTCATAGCCAGCGAAAATCGCTTGGGTATGAACACAAAAGACACGTTGAAAAACGTCGGCGATAAGCACGCGCGATAATCGTCCCGGTGTGTACGAGGCTTTACAGTGTCAAACAGGAAAATAGTTTGCCAATAATGCATGGACAATAGCAGAGTTTTTAATTTTTCCAACTAAAGTCAGTTCATTGATGATTCAGTGATGTAATCATCCAGTTCCAGCTCTCTTCCAATAGTGTCTGTGCAATCAGTCAAGCATCCCCAACTGAGACGCCGTTAATGCGTTATTGTGTTAACTTCCAACAGCCCTAAATTGAACGAGACATTTTCTTCACACAGAAGTTGTAGTTTGACATGTTTTTCTGCCCCCTTTTGATTGACAGGATATAACCAGATCATGGCTGTTTTTAAACAATCAGCAGATGGCTGATGGTGCAGATAATTGACCTTATCAGTAAGCCCCTCCCCTTGAAAGCAGATGAGCCAATGGTAGTCAAGTATCAGTTGCAGGGGAGCAGAACTCGGACATCTGTAGGTTTCAGAGCCATAGAGAAACATTGGAGGATCAGAAGCTTGCATCGTTTTTATGGGGTTTATGCTTCAAAGAAGGAAAAAACTATGTGCCTAGGGTACTTGTAACACTAATTCCAGTTATCCTGAGACGATAGGCAATGTAATTAATTTTATTCCATTTCCTAAATCCACCCAAAACCGAGCAAAATGTCCCTAAGCATTCAACCCCAATCACCATGAAGATGAAAACGTTCATTTTCTGGTTGTTATACTCTCATTAAGTTACACTTTTCATCTGCTCAAGCAGAACATTAATGTCATCTTGTGCTTCAGCAAGGTATCTCTGGCTAAAACTAGCTAACGTTAGCGTTAAATTTAGTGAGTCCATGCTAACGTACAAACCTAAATGGCGAACTGTTCTCAAGTCATGTACCGTGCAGTTAAAGTCAAAAACACAAACGAAGGTCTATATTAGAGTGCCTCTCCATATTAATCGGGTTAAATGTAAATTACCTTAATCTTACTCTGCAGGATATGAACAGCGTTGATCCGGGATGTTGTTATTGCGATCGTGACGACCGTAACAATTCTCCCATTTGCATTGTGATCTGTATTTTTACATATTTATTTTAATATCTTTTATATATTCCTCCATGGCATATTTAAGTCCCACTTGAAGGTCCATCTGTGTCCCAAATTGATCAGAAACACCTCGGAAGAAGGTTTTCACTGACAGCTGTCATTGTAAGACAGTGAGCAACTCTGTTTGTTTGTCCGAGTGAGCAACAGTAACTAAGGGGGGTGGGGCTTACCGATTATTGACAGATACATTGGTGCATCCCCAATTATAAGCAAATAGTAGTTATATATGTGAAGTTTACTAAAATATTCTTCTATTTTTCTAATTTGTTTGCCCTATTAAAGGAAGCAGTGGAATGGAAGCCATCGTCGAACTGTAAAATAGCTTATGTATTCCAGAATTGTGCGAAAGAAATTAATCTTATGGTCATGTTTTACTGCAATATTGATTACGGTTTCTTTTTGTGCCACAGGAAGCAGGAAAAGTAGTGACTGAAGATGGAGACGGCCTTTCTGATTTTTTTCTTACTTTCATCATATCTACCATGTGCTTTGCTTTCCTGAATTCTTCAAGTGTGTAAGATCTGGTCAGAGTCAGACATGGGTAACTTAAACAGAGCAGGGTTCGTACAAGATGCTTAAAGTGCTTGAATTTGACTTTTTGAAATTTAAGTCCTGGAAAACAGACATTTTTGAGAAGGTACTTGAAAAATACTTGAATTTATAAAAGGGCAGTATATATAAAAAATAGTGTTACTTTTTTCCTCGATAAAACAATATTTTTATGCAAAATTAACGATGCAGCGCATCTGATATAAATACAAAGCCATTTCGCCGGGCTTTTAGCAGCACACGAGATCTCGCGATATTACTCCTTGAGGTGAAAAGCGGTCTCGCGATATTAGTATAAAGTTGTGTTTGCGGTAAAACTTTTGATAGTGCTTGTATTATATTGTTCGGTCTTTTATTGCATGTGCTGTTCGTTTGGGTTTTATTTGGGAACGCATATAAAGTCTGACGCGTTTTGTGTTGCACTGTTATCGTTTACAAGCGTGGAGCTCATCTCCATCTCAGCTGCTCGGGACACAAACTCTTCCTCTGCATATTATACTGTGAGTTTGGGTTGCTTAACGTTCATCTGGGAAAACAGTGCATGTTATCTCACTAGATTTGTAACGTTAATCATTTATAAACCCATGCCAAAACAGGAGACTACATCAACATATTTCTAAATATGCGATTTGTTGTACATCGCGATTTCAAAATAAAGTTCAAACCCATGTTCGGAGTTTGCATGTGGCCAAATATTAAAGGGGTCATATGATGCGATTTCAAGTTTTCCTTTCTCTTTGGAGTGTTACAAGCTGATTGTGCATAGATAAGATCCCTGAAGTTGCAAAGACTAAAGTCTCAAAACCAAAGAGATATTCTTTATCAAAGTTAAGACTCTGCCACGCCCCCCTAAAACGGCTCGTTCTAACACACCCCCACATATCTACCTCACTATGTGGAAATATTTGCATAATGCCACCCAAATGTGCACGCAAAGAAAGAAGGCGTGGTTTCAGGAACCGCGGTTAGCGTTGATGCAGCCATGTTAGGGAGACACTGTGCGTTTCTAGGTGAAAGCAAAAGCACTTTATTTGGCCTTCCGAAAGTAGATGCATTTAGGAATCTTTAAGATTACTTACAACAGAACAGCAATGCATTTTATGGATGACCGTTTCGTGAACCTAGGAGAGGAGGTAATTCTGACTTTGCTATGACAATCTGGCGCTTCTGAATCAGCTACTGTTTTGTTATTAGTTTAAGTATTTGCTATTGACTGTTCAAATGCAGAGTTTTGCGCATTGTGTGCGCGCGCGCAGAGCGAGAGAGGGTCACATCAGTCAGCTGTCTTAACCGTGGCTTGTAGTAGTTACAGCCCTATATTAGTTAAAATATTTCAAAATACAAGTGCATTGTTTAGATTTGTGAGATTAAAAGACAAATATTTTGTCATTTAAAAAATCTTACAGTATTAAAATAGTCTCATTCTAGTGAATCAAGTATCTGTATATCTCGTGAGCCAAGTGTATTGTCACATACCCTAGTGCTGATAAGTGGTGATATTGCTCATTATTTCCCAAGTGTATGATACAGCTTTCATTCTTCAGGTCAATCATATATTCATGAAAAAAAAAAAAATCAGTTTGAATAAGGGAAGCGATAACTTTGCCATAATATCCTTTCAAATGTTAAAGTTGCCACAGTCATTGCATGCTTTTGTGCCGCACTTTATTTGTACTATTTTGTATTAGTTTATTAGGCTAGAATTTGAAAGATAATATGGTTTGATAAGTGAGAGCTCCGATTTTAGTCCTTGAAAACCAAAAAAGTAGCGCTTAAAGTCCTGGAATTTCATTTTGCAGTTTCTGTACGAACCCTGTGAAAGATTGTAATGACTTGTTGCCATGCTACCTTCAGACTGTGTAGTGTGTAATTGTGCACATGTTCATGCGTGATGAGGAAGGACATGGAATATGGGGGATTTCTAACTTTTACCATCATTAAGCTCAAGGAAATTGAAGAATATCTGGAAATAACACCAGTTGCCCCCGATGGCCAAACAAAGAAAATTAGGATAGTTGTAGTCATCCACTGTTATGGACAAAAACGTTTATTTAAATTAGGTCAAACATTTCCGTTGATAGCCATGTTATTTTGTTACATTAATGCATTTGACAAATGCTTTTATCTAAAGTGACTTACATTGCATTCAAGTTACACATTTCCTGGGACTCGAACTCATGACCCATTGCTAGCGCTTTATTGTTTGAGCTACAGCAATGTTGTCTGAGGTCAAAGTATGAACTTGTCAAAATAAGCGTGTTGTGCTTAAGTTTTGAATAAATGTTACGTTATTTTGACTGTGGTTGTGGTTTTATGGAAGATTTGGCCTTGACTGCAAATGAGCTTTATTTTTCTTCATTATTAATAGCATAATTTCACAATTCAGATCTCAAGCATGGGACACTGCAGATCATGTCATGAATTAAGGTAGAAGAACTTAAGATTCATTAACTAAAAATGTATAAACGGTTTTGTATGTAACAAAAATAATTGAAAAATGTTCAATAGCAATATTTTAAGTTAGAGGATATTATAATGGTTTCATAATATCTACCTTATTTTTCCTGCAAATTATTTTGTTTCTGGTAACATGTCAGTGTCATCCACTTACACCTATTTTTAAATATAAAACCGCTCCTTTTGCTGCTTGATATTGTAAACAGGTGTTTCACACCATATTATTTGTGAAGTATTGTCTTAATTATAAACACACTGGTTTGTAGCTCTCATGCATTTCCCAGCTTGTAAATTGTTTCAGTATGTGAAGTGAATAAAAGTTTTTTTTCCCCCCAACATGTAATCTAAAGGGGAGGGTATCAAACAATTAGTTATGTCAAGATCACGAGTAATCAAGAAATAAAAAAAGCAATGCTGCATGCTGACTTAAAACTCTGAAAAAATGCATTCCAAAATACGGTTTTATATTAATGTAAGGGATTAATGACAATTTTCATTTTGGGGTTGAGCATCCCTTTAAGGGTTTTTTTCCCCCCTAATAATTGATAGTTTTAAAGTGATAAACATTTTTCTTCCCTGACAGCATGACCGCCCTAAAAGGTTTACAGCTTTGTTTGGTTTACAGCATTTTAAATCCCTGCTAAATTTGCATTGCTGGTTTTAGTCAGATGCTTTAGTCTTAGGTGCTTGCCAAAATATACATTGTGCAAAGATAGTTAATTTTATTCAACGTTAGACAACACCAACACAAGAGGATTCACACACTCTCATTGCCAGTGGTTCACCTGCGCCTCATTCAGGGAAACTACAAGAAAATTGACACCAAATGACATCAGCTGGCAGACAATAGAAATAAGTCATGAACATTTGAGTGAATTAATTCTGAACACACACCTTTCCATCGAAGCAGGTCTCTGTGCAAGGCGTCCCAGAGGGCAAGCACACTTCAGTAGAGCACATGAAGTAAATCTGTTTGCAGGGAGAAACACTTGAACCACCGGTTTCTCTTTCCAAATCATGCTTCTGTTTTTGTGTAATTACCTCCTCATTCAGGTATTTTTTGGTGGACAAATCCATGAACTGAAAGGCTTTAATCTCAAAGCGACGCTGGTGCCGATTCTGAGGAAGATGTTTCATATAAAGGATGGAGGTGCTGCCAGAGTCGAGAGGATTAGGGCATCTGCAGAATAAGTGTTAAACAAGAATCAATGCTGAATAAGAGACATTTGAGAAAAGCAAAACTTGTAAATATATGCATATCAAATTATTTTTGGAATAAACTGAAACGAAAGGTATTGAAGTACAACAGGTAATTATGGAAACAAATGTTAATGAACTTAAAATATAAAAAAAATGCACACAAATCAAATACCCCTGATGCCATGGTCTCTTACCCATCAAATAGTAGAACCAGGGCACTCCGAGCGGAGCGTGGATAGGCCACACAGTAGTGAACTATAAGAGTAGCTGCCGGTTTTTGAGACCTCAGACGCAACTCCAGATATACAGACTTCCCCAAAAGAACGTGTAGGGGCTGATGACACTGTGGATAAAACTTAGTGAAAGTCTCATCTGCAAGAAAAAAAAAATTGGGGGTAAATTAAGCATCTCAAATAGTAAAGGCTATGACAGTATGGCATGTTCCAGTTTAACATGGCTACTGAAATTTACCCATAGAAATTAAAAGCTGAACTCCAAACCGCCCTTCAGACACCAGGACTGGAGGCAGACTGGGACTCATAACCATGTATCCTGCACTCACAAGCACAGGTCCTGCAAACATGGGAGCAGCTGAAACCCTCGGGTAGCGGCACTCAACCATCAGTCTAAGGAAGACAAAATAAAAGACAAAAGGAGGAAAAATAAGATTCATATAGGCATACAACGGCAGCCTGTGAGATTACGAAGACTTAGAACAATATGCACTGATAAAAATACACTATAATACCAGAAACATGCATTGAAGACAACAAAAGGACAGGCTAGACCATTTTCAAAAACCTGATTGGATTATCCCTGGAGATCATGCCGTACTTCAGGTTGCGAACTTTAATTATGGTCTGTACCTCAGCCAGGTAAATTATCGTCTCGCCAATGACCTGTAGAATTACAGCAAACGTCGTCTTGTTTCAGTGAACTGACTGAATCAGTGTACAGTATAAACAGTTCTCTACAGCAAAATACTTGCATAAGAACGTGTTCCACACTCAGAGACAGAAAATTTGAAGATGGCGAAGTCTTTGTTGGAGATAACAGGCTTGCAACCAGTCTTTCCAGCAACCGTCAGGCTCATGGGGTTCACAGGGATGTTTGTGAAATCATTATAAACGGCGAAGACAAAGTTCTTATCAGCAGTGCATTCTGGGAAGACAAGAAGGTTGAGCCAAATGAAACTAAATTTGAAAACCAGACGTTAAAAACAGCATTATCATTTTCACTTAAGAGGCGCTCTTAAAAAAAAAAAAAAAGGCACGTAATACAATTTAACATGTTCATTTAAACACTTTTTGGAGACTTAACATTTAATTAAAACAATCATTCTCATTGAAACATGGCTCAAGCATTTAAAATTTTCATCACTGATTTTATTTTCACTCAATGTTGTGCATTCAGCCAATATATTACACAACTAATGGCTATCAAAACAGACAAACATGGATGAACTTTGAGAGAAAAGGACCATTGGTACCTCAATATGCTTTCTCAGATTTAATGGCAAACTTAATATGCCATCTTCAAAGACAGTTACCTGATGAATGTTGTTGTGTGAACAAATCTCATTGGTTCTCACACATCAAAAGCATACGTTTGAGCTTCTGTTTACCATATTTAATGCATGCAAGTACTTTTCAAAATGAAACTAGGGCTGCACGATAAATCGCATGCGATATTTAACGCGCATCTTATCAGTAAAGCCGGTTCTGTAATCAGCGGTAAATCTCCATCCAGTAGGCTTTCACATTGAGCAGCATTAAATATGATGCGATTTCAAGTTTTTCTTTCTCTTTGGAGTGTTACAAGCTGATTGTGCATAGATAAGATCCCTGAAGTTGCAAAGACTAAAGTCTCAAAACCAAAGATATCCTCCTGAGACTCAGCTATGGAGTTTTTGCCTCTGTAGTGGACATTATATTTTAGTGAATTTCTCCGAGACCTCACATGTCACAGTTTTAAGTCTGGATGTCCTGTACGGAGCACATTCAG